CCGGACCTGCGGCCATCTGCGGCCTTCGACAGCTTCGCGATCGGCGCTGGCAAATCGCTGTCTTTCCCCACTGATTTCTGCTCCGGGGAGGCAGCTGCGCTGCACATCTGGGCCAAGTTGGACAAACTCTGGGCAGCGAGATGGTCCACAGAGCTCTGCTTTGCGTCAGTGTGCAGAAGAGAAGTGTGGCGAAAAGGAAAGACGTGCGATGATACGGCTGCCATGCATCACCCCGGGCGCCTTGTAAGACTTCTAAGGCAAGGGATCCATAGTGAGTGACTTAGTTCAGTGATCTCGTGCTACGACGGTGGTTGCATGTGGTTGCAGAGTCCCAAATCCTAAGTCTTGAGGTCCTCATGGTTGTGGACCTGTTAGACTTCGAAAGTTCACTGGCCGGCAGCTTGACTTCAAGCACTGCGCGTGTCGCTCTCTGTGTGAGCACCGGTGGAGAGGTGCCCGAGCTCTTTGATGCTTGTCGTAACCGTCGGTCGTTGACTAAGTTCGGCTTTGCGGCAATGCTTTATGTTGCAGAGTGCGAGTGAGAAGAGGGTTAGACGACAAGGTTTCCTGTGATCGTAGTCGTGAACAAAGTCGACTGTCTTCTAGACAAGATGAGGGACAAAGAGAAGGCCATGCAGAGTGCTGCTGTTGAATTGATCTTGAGTTTTGGAGCAGTAGAATCTTATAGGAGCCCAGCTGAATTGCGCCAGGGCCTAGCGCGGCTGAAAGTCTGGGTGCGACGCATGTCGCGACAGATCCGGAACGTTCACACGAACGATGTGGTGAGCTTGCTTGGTTGCTGCATTGCATCCCGTCAGGAGTGCAAGACACTACTGGTACTCGTAGCACATCCTGGCAGCGCGAGGTCCTGATCAGCTCCAGTAGCGGCCACGGCTTCAAGCAACTCGAGGAGAGATTGAGGCACGGATCGGGGCTGAAGCTTCTGCTAGGGGCGGGCAACGTGGCAGCTGCAACAGAATTCACAAGTGGAGCATGGGTTGGACTCGGCTGACTAGACAGCGGCAGCAACAACAACCCTCGTTATGTTTGTTAGACTACAGAGAACATCTGACTTCTGAACAGATTCTGATTCGCACTGCAGGCCAGGGCCAGGGGTTTGGTCCGGCCAGATCGGTGTTGAAGTAAGCTCAAGTCTTCCGAAGCGTGAGCGAAGGAAGCGCTGAAGCTCGAGTCTTCAGGAGCTTCAGAGCTTTAGCGACTGATCGTGAATTTCCCAGTGGTCACCTGTACGAGTAAATGTGCACAACTTCGCGAGACATGTTGTCTTTTCATCTTCGGCCTCAGCAGGGGCTTCATGCCAAGAACTGCTTGTTTGTTAAACTGGGCTTGGGCAGTGTCTGGCTCATTGGCTGGGTCCTTTTTCTTAGCTTCGTAGGTTGTGTGTAGCCTTCCCAGCAGTCGTCGACACGTACCCTGCTGGAGGCACCACCTCCTGCCAGAGGAGCCGCGCTCAAGCAAGGATTGTGCATATCTGGCCAGTGCTTCACTGGCAGGACCCAAAGTGGCTGTACGTGGTGGGCCGTGTGAACTCGGGCAAGTCTACATTTGTGAACCGCTTCTTGTGGTACATCGGCTACAAGCTCTGGACTTATCTTGTCATTGGCAGACTCTATCTACTGGTGCAAAGCAGCCACCCCACCTAGGCATCAAGGGGCAGTCCACTACAAGCGAGCAGTGGGTGGTGTCACTCGTTCACCTGTGACGCAAGCTCAGTGTTGTGCCCTGCAGATGCCAGAGGAGAGCTAACAGACAAGAGTCTTCGAGAGTGCTGTGTAGCTGTTTGCGCCAGTGCCCAGTTTGTCCATGCTGTTTCGTGCCTTGATCCCAACACCAGTGCTGCCGCTTAGGCCAGGGACGACGCTGCACTTCGTGTCCTTTGGCCTGCCGAAGGTGCGAAGGTGTCGACGAGTAGCAGAATGGAAAGAGAAAGTCGTGCGCGTCCTGCAGGGATTCAGGCTGGTCGACTGTCCTGGGATTCCTTCGCGTCACCAGGTGGAACTTGAGATCGCAGCAGGGCCGTGATCTGCGTCTTGGCGAAGTGCTTGAAGGTCACCGCACAGCTTCAGGAGGCCATGGATCTCTACGCAGCTTCATGCCTGCAGCTACGACCAGTCTCACCGGTGCAATGCTTCTCGCATCTTCTCGCAGTGAGTAGAGCCGCACAGTGTGTTCTCACTCCTGCACCGGTCGACGCTGGCTGTCGTGGGATATCACCATTCCCATTGAGGTTGTGCCGCGCAAGCGGATAAACTCGATTTCCTACGCCTTGCACACAGGTGGGATGTTGCATCCCGTTGTGTTCGCCAAACTCGGTTTTCGGCCTTCTCGGGCAGGTCGCTCCTTCTTGGCAGGTGCCTTGGTTCGCATCGACCAGGTAGAGGCGACCTGCGGCCACAGAGAGCCGTCTCTCGTGAGCAGAGCGATCGTGTTTCTGTCAGGGAAACATCAGCTTTCTCTCGTCCTTCTTTGGCTTGAGCGTCACGCTCCACGTCTGCCACCGGCCTGGACCGGTGTTGCCGATGGAAGCCCCGAGCTCTTGTCGTCTGCAAGCAAGGCCAAACCTGTAAAGTGGAGGAGAGCTTCTTCATGCTTCTTCCGAGTTGTCAGACTCCACCGGCTGACCATGTCAGGACCTGCTGAGCCGTAAAGCTGGAGACTTCTTCTACCCGCCTCACAGTCGCCACTCGACAGACAAAGCATGCTTTTCTGTCGCGACAATTTGGGAAATCAAGTGAGTGCGGACTGTCAGGGCAAGGATGCCTGAGTGATACTCCGTTGCATGGGAGATCTATGATGATCTGTGCAGGTGACGATTTCGAGCGGCTGGGTCCGCTGGTGCGTCACCGTGTCGAGGCGACACGAAGCCAGGCTTGTTGCTTTTGCAGCGAGTGCAGAGATGTTGCCGAGGTTTTCGGCAGCAGCGACCGCGCCTGGGACGACATTGCCGTGGACTTGGCTGCTCAGTCTCGGTCACAGCCAGTGCAAGCGGCGCACTTTCGAAGGTCATTGCTGGCATGGGCGAGAACCTCGGAACCGGATGCTGACGTCCGAAGGTACTGTAATTGCTTCTTGCTCTGGACTGGTTGACTCAGCAAGTCTTGGCGTGGCTAGGCTGGGTGTCCATCAGTGGCTACGGCACCAAAGTCCTTGATGTTTGGGTTCCCAAAGGACCCACGCTGGGTTGGGGTCCCTGCGATGTGTGCTCTGCTTGTCGTGAGACTATGCTGATCCGCCTTGTGTTGGGAACGTCTTTGGTTTCTTCTGTCAGTTTCTGCAGCCACTTCCGAATCTGAAACCTTCGGCCTTCAGGTCTCAGTGGGCAGATTGCATCATATTGCATCATACATACCATCTTACGAATTCGATGTTATGGGTTGCGGCCGTGCAAGAAGAAATTGCCTGGAGTTCGCACATCAACACAAGAGTGGACATGAGGCTTCTCAACGACTCAACACGACTCAGCAAAACCGTGCTTCATGCTTGGACAGCCGCGCATCTGGAGGAGTCAAAGTTTTCCGACGCCCGGCGCTGATGCCGCAGGAGATGCGCAGCCGTGGCATAACCAGGCCAGGGCTCGGGATCCCGAGGCCTCAAGAAACAGTAAGACAGTGCGAGTGTCCCATGCGAGGTTTCATGTGAACCACCGTGCAAGAAGCCCCAAGATCTTCCGCAAGAAGAACGGCATGGTCAAGGCCCGGGGGCCAAGTTGGCTTTCGTTCGGGAATTGCTGCATCCGTGAGCCGCTCCGATGAGGCGCGGCAAGACAAGGAGCTGCGTGACAAGCTACGCTCCGAGCAGGACCGTGCAGCTACCCTGAAACGATTTCAGCCACAACGATCCGCAGCGCAGGCTGACATCGAAGCTGAGCAGGCTCTGATGTAGTCGTGCGCAGAGAAGCAGCTGGCTTTTTGAGCAGAGCTTGCTCTCAGAACGCACTTAACGGGCAGGCTGACATGGTGGAGGTTCCCGATGACGTCGTCTCGGACTTATTACACTTCCTGCAATTGTAGTGACTGTGAGTCGTAGTCCATAGGTTTTTTTATCCGACGTATGCACTACGACTGGCCTGCGAAGAAGCCATATACCACCTTAATAATTAGCATAGGGTTTTGGGGCCCCTCATAATAAGGAACCCTCAAAAGACAAGAAGCAGTTTTTTCCAGAAAAAGCCAGCTCAAAACTCTCAGGCCTTCGTTGACGAGCTGGAGCTCCCAGCAGGGCACTCCTCTCAGTGCAGCAGAGCGCAAAGCTCCAGCCAACTTCAGCCAGAACAGAGGACATAATAGACGGTAATCTACTATAATCAATAATCTACTATAATTTACTATGACATACACTTACGTACCCTAAGATGCTATGACATTCTATAACTTACTATAATGTGCTATAATATACTATAAGACTCAGAATGCTACTTAGTGGGCGGCTGCAGGTACTCCATGGCGGAGCCCCTCCCGAACAGCGAGCAAGCAAAGGAAGATGCGTGACTGAAAAAGGACTATGGTGAAGACTGGTGAGCCCGACCGATGCCAGCAGACATGCATACGAAGCAGAGTGCCCTTAACAAGGAGAATAGGGTTTTGGGGCCCATATCATACTATAGTTATAATAGGGAATCCCCAAAATAATAGAGGCAATTATTAAGGCAAAGTTCTGAATCTCAGCAAGCGACGTAGATCCATTTGCTTGACATCAGGAGGTGGCTCAAGCATCTTCATCTCTGCAAGCCTGTCTGCAGTGTTTTCGGCTCTGATTCGCGGGTGCCCCCTCCCTTGCTCCATTTCCAGCCATGCCAGCAGCAGTTGATTCTTGGAGATAGAAAAGTCATGCTGAGTTCGAGTTTGGAAGCCAATGCGAGCTGAAGCTAAGGAGATCCAGTACTGTGGAGGCTGAGGCTACGGCAAGCACAGCAAAGCTGCTATTGCCCTGATTCAAGCTAAGCTGCCTGGCAAGGACTGTTGTCCTTCTCGCGCTCGTGTATGGGAAATGTGCAGCATTATGGTCATGATGATACAGTAGTTCAGCAGGAGATCAGCTTCTCGGAGATCAAGGATCCCGGTGTCACTGGGAACTTCGAGATCAAAGTCAACGGCGCGTTGGTGCACTCCAAGAAGACGCAGGGTCCGGGTGCCTCAGTAGTGGTTTGCAGGGCTTGACGGACTTCACCAGGTCATGGCTTTCTGCACAACTGCGATGCCTCCCAGCAGGCAGCTGTCCTCGAAACTTGCTTGAATGCTACGGGAAGCTACTGGCATGGTGGTCGGGCCAGCCGATGCTTGTGATCGTAACCCGAGGATGCGATCTCCAAAGCAGCGTAGACAGAGACCCGCAGCTCTGCGATAGCTGCCCAGTTAATGCGGCGCCGGTTGCTGCTTTTGATGTAGTATTGCTGCACTTAACACTTTGAAGGTTTCACGAAGCTTGCGTGAGTCCAGAGCGGCAACATCTAGCAGCACCGCACATGCGCCTGGGAGGGCCTTGCGATGCATAGCTCCCACGGATGACGGCTGGCACTGCTCTTGAAGCTAGCTCGAAAGTGGGTGAATCGCGGCAGAGTCCAGGAGCAGTTTTCAGACCTCGCTGTGCTTTAAGCACATGGCAGAGCGTCACACACGAAAAGCTGAGCTTTCGGTTTGCATGTAATCGTAGAGGCATTGCGGTTGTATTTGCTTTGTGATCCATGTGTTCCAAGCCAGCACAGCTTCGTGATGCTTCGTGACTCCTCCGCAGATGCTGCATGTCATGAGTTCGTGAGACACATCATGGAGCGGATGCAAGACAGGCCACAGACCTAAACATGCGTCTCACAAAAAGCGGTGAAACCGCAGTGGTAGCCAATACGACACCAGGACAAGCCCACGAAGAACAGAAGCCCAACACTCTTTAACGTTGGCAACAATGTAAGACGTAGGCTCATCCATGGCCATGAAGACTTGCAGCTCTTGAGCAGCTGTGCAGCCGCCGTGAGCATGGCAGGCTTTCCTCAGAGGACTCAACCCGAAGAGCCGTGAAAGTTCTGTGCCAGTCAGTGGCTTATGGAAAACTGCAGGATCATCCGACTTACGGGGAGGGCAGTCAGAGCAGGGTTGACGCCCAGCTTGGTGTCCGGCACTTATGGAGCTACGTGAGCTCTGCGTTGCATCAGTAACCGGCAGCAGCTCACTCGATCCAGATCAGTCTTGAAGGTCCTACTTCTTCTGGATAGGCTGCATCACAACAATGTACGCGGCGCGCGATGCTTAGCTCGCTCGACCTCTAGCACCCTTGCCTCCGTTATCCCCCCCACCTTCCACCAGGTGGGCCTTCATATCCTACACACCCATCGACGAGTTTTTGTGCGCCATTCCGGGCGAGGCATGCGTGAGCTGAGCTCAGAGAGAACCGGCCGGCTTGCACCACTTAGAGTAGAGGTAAACATCTCCAATGGATGGACTGTGGCGCTCTGAGTTATTTTCCCGCGAAGGATTTTTCAGTGCTAGCAGTCTGCATTCAGGTCGGGTGTGGGAACTGCTCGGACACACTGATGTTGTGCAATGACCTGAGATGTCACGTCGGAGTTCGCTGGACATTGCATGAACAGCGGAGGTGACAAATCGGACTGCTGGAGACATGCGTCTTGCCTGAAGGGGTTCGGGTACCATTCGGTCTGGGCTCTAGGACCGGACACTGACTTTCTGCGACTTGGTGAGGGAATTCAGTGCTGTTCTTGAGCTGTCTAAGCCTGCTGGCGGACCACAGGCCTTCAACCTCACCTGGCAGTTGGACGCAGCGGTAGACGTCTGAGCAAGTTTCGCCCCGTGTCATCCGTTTCGAGTCCAAGCCTCGAATCTTTTCGAGACGCCCAACGGCGCCTTCTACGGGGACTTCCAAGAGGCAGCAGTTGAAGTACTCGGGAGTGCAATGAAGTGGAAGCAAAAGTCGTTTCATAGAATTTGCTTCTCTTTCTGTTCACGTGCGTGAGAGTGAGAGGGAGAGTGGGGCAGGAGAGAGGCAGGAACGGTGAAGTCTGCTGCCCCGGCAACTGCGGGGTCCGGTCGACCAGGCGGCTCTGGATTCGACCTGCAACTCCCTTGTTCTTACAGCCGACTCGCCAGTGCTGGCCTCGGTGAATCGTTCACAGCGCAGTCTATGGCTCATGAGCACCCCTGGGCACCCAGTCCGAGCAAGGCTTTAGGATCTTTGCACGGGCGTCGCCGCGTCGCATTCGCTTTTGCAAGTCAGGCTTCCATGTTGACGAGCATCGAAGATAGGAGGACGCCCCCATGTGACAGCTGGTTCCCCCCGCAGCGGAGACTGTCTGCAGGGCGAACCCCTCAAGGCCACAAGTTGGCCAAGCCTGCGAGACCTGGATGCAGAAGATAGGTGTCTTGTGGGAGGGGTCCCTGTAATGCAAATGCACGTTTTCTCTCTGAAGGTCTCTTGGAGTTGCAGAGTCTTGGTGCGGGCCGAGACCCCAGCTGAAGCCGCCAGCAAGCATGAGGATCTGACGCCGCTGAGAGGCCACGATGAGAAGTCTCGGTACACATCTGACAGGCGGGACCGTCCCACATCTACGTGTGCAAACTTCTTGTCGGTCTGACAGTAGGTAAGCCGATGAGCCCTATCTGCCCTATCTCTGACACGGAAGAACATCTCGCCAGGTCCCGGCATCTGCACCAATGATGCCCCAAGCGTCAAAGAACCTTGGTTTGCGGCAGTCTTACGCTTCAGGGCCGTGCGAACTGATCTGCGACACATTTGCTTTTGTTTCTTGGTTTGCGAGCTGCACGCCGTGACGCTCCGTTTGGGAGGGGAACGCTGCTTTCCAACCGGTCCAGGCCACGGAGTGCAGCTGTGACGACATGCTCATCACCATGGCGCAGGCCGTGGTGTAGACGCAACATGTGATCAACAAAGGGATGCAAAAGCGGGACCCCGCAGGCGACATCTTTTCGATCGCTCTGTGGCGCCATGTCGACAGGCTTCTTTTTGCATAGAGTACAGAGTCGCTTCCAGTTCCGTGTCCCTGAGCAAAGAGCACCAGACACATTGGCTTGACACCTGGGCAATCCCGGGCCGGCCGATATTATTGGGCAGGTTTGAGATCGGCTGTCTTTGAGCGGCACCTGTCCAAGAAGGACCAGTGCTACCAAGGCCCGAAACCACACGAGAGAGACTCAGTCGTGAGAGCTTGCGAAAGCCCGCCCCTTGCAGCGTGCAGCTTGCCTCATGTCTCTCGGTGTCTGAATGCAGGCAACATGGCGGCCGCTTTGCCTGCAAAGTTGAGCGCAGCAGTTGTTTCCGGTTTCTTTGTGGCAACACGTTGGAAGTGTCTGCCCACAGGCATCTGCCGCACTCAACCCAATTGAGTACAGCACTGCCCTCGTTTACCTCCGCCGGCTGGTATGGGATGGGTGCCCAATCCCAGATAATCCGTGGGGTCAATGCCCGAGGCGAGTTTGCGAATGACATCAACTGTGAGTCGCTTTTCGAAAACACTGGATCAACACTCGCATGGTTGCGACCTGAGTTTGTAGGCTAGAATCGCCGACCTGACTTCTGTCTCGGCCTCCGCGCAACCTCAGGTTCAGTGCCAAGAACTACTTGTTGGCCAATCTGCCTGACCCGACCACTTACACGATTGCGTGCCTTCCCCAGCAGACCTGGCTCATCCCAGTGCAATGCGAGGGTATCCTTTCTCTGTGCGCTATGCTCCGCAGCGTCTCCGCCGTTCAGGCCCTACTGTAGAAAAGTCGGGAAGCTCAGCTTCTCCTGTATCACAACTGTATACTGTATACTGTCACTCGGTGATTCCACCGCGAGCCTGAGGTCATGTGCTTTGCATTCGTGGACACGCTCTCGAATGCAGACGCTTAGAGCAAAGAGCCCATCAGTTGCTATGTCCCACACTAGCCCGAGATCTCAGGAATGCAACTTCACCACGAATGCTGTGTTGACGGATGTCTTGACAGCGACGTTGATTTCTGAGATTGCCATCCACTAAGAGTTGCAGCTTGAAAGCTCTTTGGCTGAAGCCTGAAGTGTTGCTGCTGACAGTCCTTCAGGCAACCGAATGCCAGAAACGCAGCTGCATTCGGTGTTCATGTTTTCTGGCTACTCACGCGGTCCCACTCGGTCTGACTCATCGCTTGACGTTTCCCAGGGCAGAGAATCTAGCACTCACGCCGCTGTCGATGTGCGCGCTGAGTTCCTTCAATGATCGCGCCTCAGCCACTTGAGCTTTTTCGTGTGCTGTAGTCTGATATGTCTCTGCGAGGAATCCTCGTATTGCAAAACACAGTTCCCGGGCCGCAGGCCCGAAATTTTTCATGAAGGGCCGTATGGCCCACCTTGCAGCTACTGAGCCCCATCCATGCAAGAGGTTGGACGATGCTGAGATCTCCGAGTCTCCTTGGAGCTTCTTAGAAGGCCTCGAGCCTTTCTCCAAGGCGCCGAGATGTGCCACGCGAGTGCAAGCCTAAGCCGTGTGTTTGTGTTCGCACCACTGACAGGCGTTGCGGCAAAACATCTCCAGCGACAGTTCCGGAAATGGGACGGGGGTGCAGGATACCCGGCCGAAGCCGAAGGTGCCGGGGCCCCGAGAGGAAGACATGGAGACCTCGACTGGGCTCTGCATGGGACACATGCTGTGAGTTGAGAGTCGAGGCACCCTGGGAACGCTACTCGGAAGGAGGCTGTGGTGGAATTCGATGGCATGGAGGCAACTTGACGTGAAGCTCTCCATGCTCCTTTCGATTATGATCGAATCGCAGGCGCTGGCCTTCGTCGAGGACTTCGCAGACTGTGGAGGCACACTGGTCACAGAAATCTTCTCGGATAATCCTGTCAGTTGAGCAGATGCCGGCATGAGGCCTTGACAGCTCTTGCAGCTCCGATCGAAGGTGCACGAACAGATATCGTGAAGCTCTGAACCCCAAGCTCGTCCCTGGCTTCCCGGCGTCCCGGCGAGGCTGCAGGTGACACCTGCGCCAGCGACAACAGCCGCTCTGCAGGACTCGTCGGCTGATGAAAAATTCTCCCTTCTCCAGTCAAAGCATCGTTAGGTTCGGAGAAGTTTCAATCGCCCGTTCAGCCAAAGCGATGACTAAGGTGAATGTTCTGTTCGTTTTAGATTGTCTGCTGTTGAGCCTCCTTATGAAGATGAAGCATCTGTGCAGGAATACACTGTCACTCCGTGGTCGAGCTGTATTTGCTACATGTCCGCCACCAAGCGCTTGCTAGCGACAGCTTTTCACATGTCGTCGGGGACTTCGACGAATCGCTCTGCTCTTCCTGGGATTCCTAGGCAGTGTGTGCCTGGAGTGATGACGAGAAGCGTCTCCTGTCCGGCGGGCGTTACGTGTCAGGACAGAGATCAGAGCAGAGAGAGTCTCAACGAGTAAAGACAAAGACACGCACTTCTCTGCTTCTTCTCGGCTTCTTCTCGGCTTCTGCTGCATTTTGTCCCCGTTTTGGTCCGAGGAGCCGAAGCCTTCGTCTGCACAGTCTTGCGTTTGCAAGCACTGCTCCGACTGCGACGTGCTTGTCTTTGTGCAAGCCTCAGGCTGACGAGTTCCCGCACATGTTCCAATCCAGGTGGTATTTCCTGGTCACTTCCTCGTCCAAACATGTCCAAACTAAATCTTCCATCAAAGCTGCAACGACTGTCTTCGTCGCAGCAGCAGCAGGACGAGGTGTCCTCGTCGTGATAGCATCGCTGCACAAGTGATCGCAAGCAGGGCATAGATCCTTCCCCGAAGCGCGTCTTGTTTCTGGCCTCTCCGTCCCTTGACGGGTGGCCGTTCTCTAGACGTGCTTCGAGCCAAAGTCAAACGAATCCTCTGACCATGTCTGCCATTTGACAGACTGCTTTCTTCATGCTTCTTGTTCCGTAAATGACGTTTCCTATGTACCTGTCAGGATTCTCTGCAACTCTTGGGCATCTAAACAGCCGCAGGTCAGACCGGACCCAAAGCAGAAAGTTTGTCATGTCGTCGAGGGGTGAAAGAAGCGAGTGACTAGCTCTGGAAGTCTTCGTGAATTTCGGCAAAGTGGCCTAATCAGCGGTCCTGGCCTCCCGGACACAAACAGCTGCTTTCTCTGTATGCATCGGTTCCAAGGGCATATTGCCACGTTTCCAAGGGCATATTTGCCACGTCCTCCCGTGGAGGACTCAACACAGAATCTAGTGCGGTGTGGTCGACCTGAAACCTCACAAGGACACGTGAGGGAAGGCACTTTTGGCTTCCGACCCTTGCAGCAACTCATGCTCACTACTGCCGAGCCTGAATCAATGTGTCGGTCTGTGACTGTACACAGTTCGATCTCCATAGGTCTCTGAAGAGCCCTCGAAGGTCCTTGCAACTGCCGCGGCATACGGTGCGACGGGCCTGATCGCATTTCTGCTTTGGTTGGGGTTCGTCATGGTCGCCCAGCTGGAAGAGGTTCGGGAGTGTTTTTTCTCTTCTCTTCGGTCACGTAACATCATGTGGGTGCAGCAGGATGATTACACGGAGATGTCCTGCGGCCTGAAATGCGCTTGGCTCAGATGCTCGTTCCAGTTTTTTCACGGCTGGATGCTGGCGCCAAGCAGTGCTGAGGTCTGGGCTGCTTCTGCAAGTTCCTTCCCATCGTGACAAAGAATCTTGACATGCGTAGATACAAAGTGCCAGAGTTTGCGTGGCATGTACTGACTGTACTGAGGATCATGACTTATGCAACAATGCTTCTCATTGTCGTGCTCGTGGTGACGGCACGTACCTCAGATCGTTTTGCCAGCTTGACGTTGTCAGGGACGGTCGTGCTCCGCCACTCGAGCATCGAAGCTGCCTGCTGAAGCTTGTTACTTCATCCACTCTGGGCAAGATACCGCAGACCTTTGATTTGCGCGAAGCGGAGGCATTTTCATGCCCACCGCCCAGCGAAACACCTATCAAGGAAGTCACAGAACCAAAGACGCGAAAACCGTGCTGCGCTTGCTGGTACTTGTAGCTCGATAATGGACAGGCGATCAAATTTGAGTCTACAGGGAAGCGAAGAGCTTAGGTGTTTGAGAAAATGAATAAGATATGGTGGATCCCAAAACCGAAGCTGCATTTCAGTCTCGGTAGTGGCATCAACCTGGACTTGCAGTAAGTGTCAACACCTCGGCTTCGTATTCTTGCGCTTGCGACAAGTCGTGTCTGGGGCGTTCGGGGTTGACGGGGGGGGGGGCGCGGGAAAGATGACAGCCATGGAGTCAGAACGGTGAGCCAGTGTGAGCACATTGCAGATCAAAGAGAAATGACGTCAATGAAGCAGGCACTGGTGCCAATTGGTGAGCTTTACTCCGATTGCAAGGGCAGCACGTCCTTCACCCAATTAGTTCAAGACTCAGCTTCTCGGGCAAACAAGGGCAAGTTGCCGTCTTGTGTGCGTAGAGGCCATCGGTGGCATTGTGGTTTGGGTCACGTCCCCAGAATTTCTGGCCTGTAGAAGCTTTCTTTGTCTGATAGGGGAGTCGCACGGCTCGGAATCCAGTTGAAGGTGGTGCAGCTCATCGTCGGCGTGTACATGCACCGTAACAAGCTTGGCGCCCAACAATCAGCTAGTCGACGGAGCTAGTTGCGTCTTCCTCTTGCATAGAGAGCCGGAATGTGGTCACATGAACGAGGCCCATGCCACCGTGGCTGCACACTGCGCAGTCATCTGGCGCAACCCTGGCGGCAAAGCGTTCTGACATCTCTGTAATAGACTCTATACATCAAGCCATGTGAGCACGCATGCGCACAGTTATGTGCAGTGTGTAGACTGCAACCAGTCACTCCATGTGCAAGGCACTGAAGCTCATTTGCAAGCCGCTGAATGCAGTGGGACCGTGAGATGCTCGCGTAGAGGAGTATTTGCAGCTGAAGGTTTGTAACTTAAGTTAGTTAGCAGTCAGCTCAACATGTATACATATATATATATACATAGACAGATAGATATGGATGTGTATACGGATATGGATAGGTATAGATACAGCTACAGCTACAGATAGAGATGTAGGTATAGATACAAATATAGAAACAGATAGGTATAAATATTGATGCAAAGACAAATCTAGATGTGGCTATGGACGTGGATACGGGTATAGGTACAGATATAGATACACAAGACTGGCTCTACATATTTATATACATATACGTTTACACATGAACATAAACAGACGCAGACGCAGACCCAATACACATAGACATACACAGGAACAGACACATACATTTCCACACACATACACATACATATATGTGCATGGGATACATGATATTTAAATAATATAAATGCGCAGATATGTGTATACGTATGCATATCAAGACTTATGCATATGGTATACATGCATACTTGAAGGGTGCATAAACATATAGTTATATATATATATATATATATAATATTTTTATATGGGGTATAAAAGACTTACACACACAGCTGCAAGTATTCTGTGTAGATAGGCCCGACAGTGAGCAGGATTCGCAAAAGAGGATCCTGAGTTCGCGCTTTCAAGAAGCGGGACGGACAAAAGCGAGTGTTTTTGCCTCCAAGGCGGGTGCTCTCGAAACGCTCCATGTTTGCGAAATCCTCTGCACGCCTGACGGTGTCGGGTGTGGTTGCCATCTGGATGTGTTGTTATGCAATAAGGAGGGTACGAAAGCTTGGAGCTTGAGTTGCTGAGTAGCTCTCCGTACATCTCAGTGCAGTTGGCTCGCCCTGGGCCCCAGCTTTTGACTTTGGTTGGCCAGTTCTCAAGGCGAGTGTTTCCTGTGATTCGCATTGCATGGTGGAGGTAGGCATGGTATCATGGGACATGCAGCTGCGATTGACATGTTAGCTGCAAATGTCTAGAACGCGTTTGAAGACGTGGGCTCGTTCACCTCGAGTGCAGCCGTGCTTACAAGAGGGTTGCAAGAGACTAGCGGCAGCAAGGTTTGTGCACGACCATGTGCTGGTTCACTGTTTTTCTCACTGGCCTCCTGGTGCTCTAGAGCCTTGGCGAACTGACTCCAGGAATTTCACCACAACGCAAAGACATGCGAGTGGCGGGCACCTGCATCCTAGCTAGCCTTTGGCGCGAACTGCGGTCCGGCACTGTCATGAATGAATTTACCGAGCTATGTCAAGCCCTCTTTCTCAGCTGAACAACGGCCCATTCCAGGTGTCAACTCCCTGTACATAGAGAGCAGGGATAAAAGCGTCTCAACACAGAGCTGCAAGATGAACTTCAGCATGCGGCAATGGCATCGGCATCTTCTGCTCAGCGTGGGCATGCTGATGCTGGCTGAGATGCGGCAGGACCCACAAGTGCACGTATGTATAAGGTGTGGGCTTGAGCACTGTGCACAACAGACCTCGAACCACAATGACGTGATTTTGCCAAGTAGTGCTGAGGAGACCATGTTCCTGACGGCCTCGCCTTCCGGCAGGGACCGCGTAATCTTAAGGCAAGGCGGCAAGGCATGGCGTCAGAGAGTGAAGCTGGCAACTGTCCGGCACATGCAGGGCACGGATACCACCTGAAGCTGATCCTAGCATTCCGCCGGATGCTCTTAGCATGCATCATGCTTGCTCACAAAGCTGCTCAGCCATCGTTTGATCTGGTCCTGGCTTGCCTTCAGACCGAGGTGGCATCCACTCATGAGGAAGGGCAGGCCTGTTCCCAGACGCTTTGCCGTTTGCATCTGTGTGCGTGGTCTCCTTTGATGTGCATCAAGTCCATCGTTTCAACCTGTGCAAGGCCGCATGGCCCCATTAGGCTGCCTGCCTCTTTCGAGGCAATTTGGCGGGTGCCGGCTAGCAGCGAGAGGCAGATGGGTCAAACGCACCGACTTGGAGGCTCTCCGATCGCTCCGAGTATTCAAGGCACCCAGGCGCGCTTCGCTCAAAACAGCGGGCCGAAGTTGCAACATCAAGATCTGCAAGCGGGTCATGCCAGGTTGAATGCCGATCAGTTCCCAGAGCGTGTTGTTCAGAAGGCGAGTTGAACTCGAGGTAGGTTGCCGGTAAGTGTCGTTGCATGCAGTGACAGGGAACCCACTTCTCAGTCGAGGACAGCAGTGGATTGTCGAAGAATTGCTTCAGTCACCGCGTCGTCCCCCGCGTCGGCGCACACGATGTCAGCCATGCACTGGAGGAAGTGGCATACGATGGGCAGGTCAGAGGCCAGCCAGTGCCTTGTCAGCAACGTCTGTCCTGCGTCGTGAGTTTTGATATACTTCACCGTTATACACTGCACACAGAGCCATGCAGCAATCTCAGAGTAAAGAGTGGGCACCTCTTGCTCAGGTTTTCTTCCTGAAGCCGAAGAGGGTAGGAAGCTCGGCAGATCCTTGCACCCGCAGTGCCTGGCAGAGTAGACATTCTGGCAGGTCTTCTACAAGGCCAACAGAAATCTTCCCGACGATGGGGAGGTTCATCGTGAGAGGTGCAACATGTTACGGTCTGTATGCCGTGTCGGAAAGGACTACGGTGAGGGAGGTTGGCTGTGCGGCGTGGGCACGGAGAAGGGCGCCTGGTTCACGAGGAGATCACAGTATCAGGGGCCCAGCCGGGATTCTTGGCAAGTCGGACTCTGTTGAGGTCGATCGAATTCCACTACATACGTAGCAAAAATGTGTATAGCAGACACATGTAGATATGCATGGTTGGATGGATGGACGGATCAATAGACGGACGGATGGATTGTATTGCATTAGTTGTGTTGTAATAATGTACTGTATTCCACGGCATCGCATAGCATCGTATGGTGCGGTACTAGTATGGTATGGCATGGTATGGTATGGTCTTGTATTGGGTTATTATGTCGCATCGTGTTGTATAGTCTTGTGTGTCCCATACACATTTACGCACATAACATTTGTGTGTCTGTGTGCGCCTTGATATTTGTCCGTAACACGGTTGTTCATGTGCAATGTGAGTGCTTTGCTTTGCCAGCACGCAGGAAGCTGCAGGGCACAAGTAGAGCAAGTCACGACCATGAATCGTCAACAAGTTCATCTAAAACTATACAGGGATCCAAGCTTGCGGGCAGTGGACGACCAAATATCAAGACACGCTAAAGCACTCACTTGCTCGACGCATGTCAAGACGTGCTTCGGGGACAGCGACACTGGCTTCGTGTTGCAAGAAATCGCCGCAGTAAGTGCACGTCAGCTGCAGGAAGCTGGTGCGGCGGCTGAAGTTTTAGCCTCGAGCAAAAAGGGGCCTTACTTCATTGCCAGCATGCAGCAAGGATGCATGCGGTGACAAAGCCAAGCGGTGTGGCCGCACGATGCAATTGCCAAATGCTTCGGTCGACATCTGCAGGAGGCAATGCCAGCTAGGCGTGCAACAAGTTTTACCTTTAGTAGTTATCCACCTTCTCCAGGTATCTCCAGGTTAGCTTCTCACGTAAACATGAAGGCAGCATGTGCTGATCAGCTCTGGGTGTTTCTGCCATAGACATCGCCATGGACGCTGTTGCTTCGACCTGAGACCGGCTTCATGTGCCAATTGCCAGAAGACACTCCCCGAGAGCCGATGAACCGATTCATGGGACCGCCCGGCCTGCCCGTGCAGCTTCCAGGTTTACAAGAATCGCGAACGTCAGCGCATCTTGCTGCAGGATTTTCGGTCTGCTGGCTCTTGTGGGGGGAATGCCTGTTGTAAGATAGGAAGCACAGCGCTCTGTCTTGTGTTGGTTGAGAGGTTGTTGCCCTGTTGCCCACGGCCGAGTTGGCTCAAGGACTTCATAGCCTTGTTTCGTTCGGCGACATCGTGCCACAGACTCGACGCATCGAAGCTATGTGAGGTTGGTGGAAACGTGAGTTTCTCAGGTCGGAATCATGGCCATGGCTGCCATGGTTCGCAGGAGCCATGCTCAGATCAGATGGCGGCGATTTCGCAGTGAGAGCTTCATGAAGTCACTGAGCATCTTCTAGTTACTTAGTAGCCTACGTAGCTACATGGCATCAATGCAGTCGCGCATGGTTCGCAGGTCCTTGGGGCACCGCTTCCCCGTTCGCAGCTTTGCTGCCATGGCGGACTCCTCAGTCAGCTGTCGGAAGTGCATCGGCAACAGCGCATCCATGCCTTGGGCCTCCGCCCGCCCATGCGCATGCCCATGGACACCCGACGCCACAAGGCTCAGCCTCAGACGTTCGCCATCTACCGTGTCTTGCCAAGCAGTTTAATCTGGTGGCCAGGAATTGTCGTAGCCGAGTCGTAACCTGAGGATATGATCCAGACCAGCAGGCCAAGCCTTTCCTGCAGGAGCTGCCTTTCTCCTGCTTGGGGATGCCTCTCGCGAGCGACGTGCTGTGTGGGGAGCGCAGGACTACACCATTGACCTCAAGGTGCTGGTGAAGCAAGCACACGAGACTTCATAGAGCTACGTATTCTTTAAACGTCGCCGACGCGACGCGCGATCTGCCCGAAGAGGCTTGTGGCCCAATGATTCTTGACGCGTTGATCAAGATCAAGGATGAGGCCCTTTTGACGCGAGCAGCAGCACATGAATGGGTACTTTCTGGGATGGCGAGGTCGACACTACGCTCACCTTCCGCAGGCCTTTTCGAACAGCCGCTGCCGAAAGACATCGCAGCAAATTCCAGTTGTCTTGCATGATCCTGCCGTCCGTGCAGATCCTGCCGCGAGGGCATCTGCGGCTCCTGCGTTGGGTTCTCAGCAATTTCATGCCAGCGGGAGTTCGGGAAAGGGAGAGTGCGGGGTGGGAGATGGCGGGAGGCAATGAACATCAACGGGAAGAACGGCCTCGCATGTTTGCTTTACATCGAGCCCAGCCCGGCTGCCATCGAGATTCAGCCCCTGCCGCACACCTACGTCGTGAAGGAGAGCGAGAGAGCGCGGGAGTGCCTGTGTCCGGATTGGATGTGCAGGACCTTGTGCCCGACCTCACAAACTTCTACAATCAGTGCGGCTTGGGGCAAAGGGTAGGAAATAATGGGAGCATACTCATGCGACCCTGCCAGGTACAAGTCAATCGAGCCCTGGCTAAAGCGCAAGGATAGCCAAGAAGCGACTGGAAGAAACCACAAGAAAACAGCTCTTGATTGCGAATGCGGCAGGACACGAAGGCCAAGGATGCGAAGGACTCCCAAAGATCGTACAAAGCCATCGCTGGGCATGCACTCCTCCTGGAAATAGTGGGAGGTAGAAATGCAGTCCTTGGCCTAGGCATCCTAGGCTTCTCACACAGTTGCTCTGTAGCCGTGCCCCCTGCTGCCAGGAGTACTTCCAGAGCCGCGAGGACCAGCTGTAAAACCTGGGACGGCTGCTGACCGCTTGCCATCCTATGCCGCTACAGCTTTGCTACTGCTGTTGCTCGGCTGCTGCTGCTGCGGCAAATAGTAAGCAGAAGCAGCAGTAGTAGTAGCTTCAGTTGTCGTCGTCGTAGTAGTTTGAACTAGAACCAGTGAATATACGACTCCCTCTGCTGCTGTTGTTGCCGTTGCTGCTACGTACTACTACGTACTACTACTACTACTACTACTACTACTACTACTACTACTGCTACTGCTGCTACTCCTACTGCTCAATTTTTCAATTGAACGCTGTGCGAGCGGGCTCAGCACATAGCGGGCGATTGCCGCGGTGCACTCACATGGTGTGAAACTGACTCAGACCCTATAGCTGAACAGCCCTGGTCGAAGACCTTTGGGTGTTGGCGGCCTACAGGCTTCAAGCTAACTGGCAGTGGTCAGCCGAAGCAAGTTGGTAGGCGGCCAGGCTTCAAGCTTCAGATTGTTGTGTGTACCTGAGCGAGGATAGTGATTATGCAGCACTAATTGCAGAGGCACAGTTCTGCGACTGGCAGAAGGCGAGGCATGTTTTTCTCTGACAGCGGCGGCAATCAGCAGAAAGGCCGTCGGTACATGCCGGAAGAAACGAAGTATAAGTGCAGGCATGGCCTCCGCATTTCGCAGTATAGGTTGCCATTGGCACCGGTGATCAAAGTTGGGGCTCACTGGTGCCAGGAGCGGCTGTCACTGGCCCCTGAGTCCGAGCCACGATTCCACCACCCTCCTCGGGTCCAGGCATCGCCGTCTCTGTAGCGCTTGTCTGTGTGAGACTGTGTCTCTTCACCAGAGCGCTTGTCTCGCTGTTCCCGCTGCTCACGTAGCTCGCGTTGGCGATGCCATTGGTATGTGTGGGCGTGTCGCCCTTGTTGTGTTCGATGCGGAGCTTGCGGACAACGTGTCCATCCCGAGGCTGGTAGAAGATGGCGCGATTTTGACCACCACTTTTCCTGGAGGACTGGTCATAGATGCACTTGAAGGTGGAGGCCACGATCTCGAAGTTGTCATCCGTTTCGAGCAATGCGCTCATGTCCGGATGATCCCACATTTTCTGAAAAAGGGCGTGCACTATGCCATAGTAGGTCGTGGTGGACTTGAGCTCGGTGTAGCGATCATCTTGGCCAATGGATAGTGTGAATTGGCCATTGGCCCCGACCATAAGCCGCGCTTGCGTGATGTCAAGCCAGTTGGCATCCTTGTCGGTGGCGACCTTCTTGATCGGGGCGAAGATCCATGGCACCTTGCCCAGTGCTCGAAACCTATTGGTCCAAAGGTAGACCTGCTCAGAGGCCGTGAGGCCACCCACGATAGCCTGCTCCTTCATAATGGAAATGGTCGCAAAGGCATGGACCCACTCCAGCATCTGGTCGGACTGGCAGATGTGGATAATCTGATCTCTCTTTGGCAGTTGATTTGCCTCTTGCTCTGGAGAGGGGTTGACACTGTACTCCACCAGCTTGGTCGTGGTGACCGGTCCCTGGTATTTGACCTCTGCACGCGTAGAGGGGGCATCCACAGGGGATGAGGCTGTGGTGTCAGCCGGGCCTGGGGTCTGTGGGACGGTCTCCTCGGTGGGGGCAGCTGTCGGAGTCACATTCTGGGTTGAGAATGCGTTGAAAGGCCGATCGCTTGTCTGGCCAGGGCCAGCAGACTTGTGTGACTGCGGTGTGCCCACCGGCAGCATCGGAGTGTCTGGCGTGCCCACAGTGTCTTCCGCCCATCCCAACGTGGGATCAGCAGTGACATGTGTCTCATCCTTGATGTCCGCCGGTTGGTCATTGACCCCCTGTTCTTCTTTCGCTGCAAGAGGCCGGTGGCCCTGCGCTTGTGGGGTAGGACCTGGCGGAATGGGAGGGAGACCGAGCCCAAAGCGTGCCTTAGACACCGACGCTGTGGGTCTCCACTGGGGCGGACGGTCCGCCGTGGGTTCTGGTGGTGGCGGAGCCTGGCCTGACGCTGCAATGGCTGCAGCTGAGGGAGGGTTTGCAGGCTCGGCCGGGCGCTGCGACCACATACTGTTGCGAGGCGGGGGGCCTGGTGGCTCGGGCACTGATCGGTCGTGCCGGGATTGCATGAAGTGGTGTGTGACTCCCAACTCATTTGGGAACTTCAAGCGTCGGCCGCCGCGCTCGCAGTAGCGGCAGGAAAGCCAGTCAGGATCTTCAGGGTGAAGGCAGAGGCCTCGGGGGATGTTGCGAAGGACAGCCTCGGCCGAAATGCCGTGGTACTGCGGCTCCTTTTCGACCGCCGCCATGATCGCGTCGAAATCACCCCGTTCGAGGCTGCTGAGCACGGTCTCGCCGACAACTCTGACGCCTGCATTGGTGAGCATTGCTCCCGCTCGTGCTGGATGGGGTGCTGCAGAGGCAGCGCCACCGGCTTCAATGACCTCCGAGACGATCTGGGGCACGCTCTGCATGAGAGAGTTTTCATTTCTTTGAGCTGCCCTGGGGTCGCCCTTGAAGCCTTTTCGCCAGCTCCAGCAGCGGGTGAATGCTACTCGAACCTGACCGCGGGTCTCAAAGTAGTGACCATCAGACTCAAGCTCTTTGGACTTGGTGAGCTGGGTTGAATGTCGCTCGCGGAGCAAATACACCGGTCCGAACTGTCGGGTCTGGTTCCATCCTGGCACTGGGGTGTGGCCCATGTCGTGCGTGAGGAGCTTCCAAAGTTCCTTGCAGAAGATCATGTAGTCCAGGTTGGCGACCGAGGCAAGTATTTGCCTGCTGAAAGCGTGATTTATAGCGCAGAGCATGAGGGGATGGCGCGGTTGTCCATAGATGATGCCCTGGAAAATGTGGTCATTTTTGACCCCAATGCCCATGATCATGTACTCCTTGGGCAGAACCCCCTCTACTCCATTTGGGCATTGCCCCAGCTCTTTGCTTTTGCGAACTTGGACATTGTCCCATTCTGAAGCGATGAGCCCTAAAATTTGATCGAAGGGCATTCTCAGCGCCATCTTGATGTCAAGGTACAGGCCACCATGAAAATAGTGGTAGACGTATCTGAAGACATCAGCCTTGTGAGCAGGCTGCCTCAAGCTTTTGATCAAGTGTTCTCCGCTGTCTCCAGCGTGCACCTGAAGGGTCTCGAGCAAAACCTCGTCATTGCAGAAGGAGCGCTCGAAGTCAGCCAGGAATTCCTGGCACATGCTTTTGGGACCTGGGTGGTCATCGTGCATATATGTCTGAAAAAGAGTGCGGGGCATCGGCCGGCGACTGACGTAGGGTTCCAGGAAGGGTCTGAGGGCCCATGCCTTGCCCGTGTGTCGAGCAGCCACCGCACCCACCTCAGACAGTGTCTCCGAGCAGCACAGGTCAAATGTGGCGTTCATCTCCTTGTGGACATTGTCCCCCTGGCAGTTCCATGAGCACACAACCAGAACATGGATCGCATTTGGCTTCAGTCGCCGCATCGTTTGAATTGAGCGGGATACCAGTAAGCCAATGACCTGATCCGCCACCGTCGGTCGAAAGTGACAGTTGTTTTGGTTGTATATTTGGTCAACCAGGGGAGGAGGGCCTTGGAGGCTCATGATGGTCTCATCGCTGAGCTCGTACCGTCCCAGGCCATACTGGTCCCTGAGCTCCGCGATCCAGTCGTAGTTCGTCTGCTTATGGGGTAATAAGCTTTGTCTGATGGGGATCAGGCGCACACTAACTTCGTCATAGTAATGATCCCGGAGAAAATTGATCAATGCAGGGCTTTCCGCCGGGAAAGGTCGCGTTTCTCCAAGGACGCGGATGAATTGCCAGGCCAGTACCTCCAACACCGCTGGGTTGGGTGGCTGCGCACCCGCGTACTCTGCTGTGAGAGTGGTACCCGGGCAGGAGATGACATAGCCGTGCATTGCACCCCGAACCATGTCAATGATTCCGTAGGATTGGCCATTGGCCCCCTGCCAGAGCAAGTGTTGCAAGGTGCTGTCACTGAGCACCAAGAAGGGCTTCGGCGTGGTAGGTGTGGCTGCCATGCCCGGTTGCCTGTGCTCTTTGAGCACCGCACCCTTACCAGGCTAGGGGAAGTTGAGGCTGTGAGGAGCTGCGCAGGAATGTCAGAACTGTAGCCTAGGGCAGAGCAAGCTGTAATAGTCGAAATTCTGGGCCCTGAGCCTTCTGCTTTGTATATTGTTATGCTTGATGCCTGCAGTGATCTTGAGCCCGGCGGCGCAGCAGGAAAGCTGCAAGTGCATTCACGCTGAGGCAACGCTGCAGAGTGAGCTTGGCTTGTGCGAGTGGGCAGGGGCACTGGTCCGGCCATGCCAGAAGGTCGGCGTCAGCAGGGGCCGCCTGAGAGCATCGTCGGACCTTAGAGCGAGATGCCGGCAGCAGTAGCAATAGACATGAGCGATCCGTGTGTCTCGCGCTGACAGATAAGAGCAGTGTGTGTCTGCTGTCTTTTCGGGTCATCAAGCCGCCAGGGGGGTGTCGGCAGCTGAGGCTGTTGGTCAAAATTGATTGAGCTAGTGGACGTGCTTCAGTCCTGCTCAGAGAGGGCGTGCAACAGCTTCCGTATTTTGAGCTGAAAGCCTGCTGGGCATTGCCCCCATGCCAGCGCATCGCTATACGTCAGCTGTGCTGCCGTTGAAAGCTGGAGGAGCTTGTAGCTGTGCAACGTGCCTCGAAGCCTGTGTACTTCAGGTACAGAGCGGAATGCGCGGAGAGCTTGTCCGCATCTCGGATGTGGTAAGTACCGAGTATGAGTCGGCGTCCCGTCCATGGCAGTACCAGGTGTCGGCGTGAGGCATCAAAACTAAGGTAGGGCAAGGTCACGGGGAGAACTTGTCCTCTGGGTCCGTCGGAGTCCAACAGGTAATCCCCGGCGCTGTCCTCCACGAAGAGGTGTCCGCCCTCGAATCTGGAGAGAGGGATCAGGATGTTGTTCACCCCTTGTTGATTGTTGTCGGTATGCAAGCCAGAGGCCATATTTCGTGCCAGAAACAGTGTCGTGCGTGGATGGC